GAATGTTGAGCCCACAGTCGTGTGGGCCATACGGCAGAGGACGATGTGAGGAGGGGGACCAGGTGGCGGGTCTCCCTGCGGGGAGCGCAGAGAGCTGGGTGCTCGACACATCTCCGCGGGCCTGGCTCACTGTGGGAGCTGGCTCTGTCCCTTCCCCTCCGGGCCGCAGCTCCCCTGCTGGGAAATAGCTCCTTCCCCGTAGTGTTCTAGGGTGGGCTGTGGCCTGCCTGTGCTTCCGCATGTGCCCAGGGGGAGGTGGGATACAGAGCCACGTGGGGTCTTTTCCTGACCTGCGTTAGTGTGCCGAGGGGCTCTCACCGGTCACCACACACGGGACAACCTAAGTCACCGGCAGAGTCTGCTTCCCCGGCTCCGGGCTCCGAGGCTGCTGGTCGGAGGTGCAGGTTCACGGGGCGGGCTCCTGCCAAGGCTCCCGGGGTCGGGCAGGCGCTGCAGCTCTCCGATCCGTCACTCTGAGCAATCCTGGTGTCTTCCTGGGACACCCGTCTGGGATTTAGGGGCCAGCTACAGGCTCTGGGGGCGGGATCAGGTGCACAGACCTTCAGCGAGGCCAGCATCCAGCCCAGCACAGCCGGTGTCCGGTGGGTGGTACTTCCTTGGTGGAGGTCATGTTCCCTGTTGACCCTAGGCTGAATCTGACCTCTGAGCTTTGACCCCTGCTGTCTATTTAAAAGTAAAACTTCGGTTTCTGGTCACTATTAACAAATTACGAGGTTTCACACCAAAGCCCCTGGATTTCTGGTCTCTTTTTTTAAAAAAATCAGGTGTCTGGTAGCACTGAGCCCCCATGGCTGTGGAATATGCTGTGTAGGCCCCCACCTGTGGTCGTGCCAGAGATGCCAGGGCCTGAGGGCATGGGTTCAAATCCTGCCTCCGCCACCTATAAGCTTGTGGCTTTCATTGAGCCTCCTTGGACCTGTGTTTCCTGAGGGCTAACAGTTGTCCCTGTGGCACAGGGACATGGGGATGGTGCCTTGAAAGTGCTGATCAGTAGGGACTGTCAGCGTGTGCAGGAGCCTGCCCTGGCCGGCTGCCAGCCTCCCCTCTCTGGCCCCTTTGGCATTTGAGTTTGCAGTCCTTGTTCCCAGCCCTCCGGGGTGCCCCTGTTGTATCCCTTCTTGTGTGAGCTCCCATCTTTCCAGCACAAGTAACTCATGCTCCCCACCCTTCACCAAGAGGGGACTGGGGGCACACTGGAGGATTTCAGCCTCCCAGAGAGGACTGGACTTTAATTGGGGTGAACTTGGGGGTGGTATGGGAATCAGAACCCTTCATCCTGGGCTTAGAACACTGACACCCACTGCACAGACTCCATACCTGGAGGGAACATACCTGTTGGGCAGCCAGCATCCCACCAAAGCTGTCCCCTCAGTGAGAAAATCCACTCGGGGTCAAGGACTGCAGCAAATTCCCTGTGAGGTCCCAGTTGTCTAACACATGCCTGGCATATAGGCCATGCCCATCCATCTGTCCATCTGTCTATCCATCATCCGTTCATCCACCCATCTGTCCATCTGTCCACCCACCCATCCATCTGTCCACCCATCCCGTCTGTCTTTCCATCCATCATCCATCCATCTATCCATCCATCCATCCATCCATCCGTCCATCCATCCTGTCTATACATCCACCATCCATCCATTATCCATCCACCCAACCGTCTAACCATCCATCCATCCATCATCCATTTGTCCACCCATCCCCTGTTCATCCATCCATCATCCATCCATCCATCTATCATCCATCCATCATCCGTCATCCATTTGTCCACCTGTCTAACCACCCATCCATCCATCCCCTATTCATCTATCCGTCATTCATCCATTTGCCTACCTCTCTGTCCACTGACTCATCCATCTGTCCATCCATCCCCTGTTCATCTTTCCATCCATCATTCACTAATCCATTATCCATTTGTCCACCCATCCATCCATCCATCCCCTGTTCATCCATCCATACATCATCCATCCACCCATCCATCCATCCATGGTCCCTCCTCTATCCATCTGTCCATCTCTCTTATCTGTCTATCCATGGTCCATCCATCTGCCCATTTCTCTATTCACCCATCATATATCCACCTGTCCTTTATCCATCATCCATCATCCATCCATCCATCCTCTCTCTATCCTCTACCTATCCACCCCCATCCATCCATTATCCATCCAACCATCCATCTGTCCATCCATCCATCCATCCATCCATCCTCTATCTATCCATCCACCTATCTTTCCATCATCCATCCATTACCCATCCATCCAACCATCCAGCCCTCCATTCATCCATCCACCATTCATCCATCCAAGAGAAGGTGAGAAGATCTGTTCACTCCCTACTTAAAAGTCTCTCATGGCTCCCCAATGTATGTAGCGTGAAACCCAGCCCATCATCACAGCTCTGGGGCCTTGCAGCCTCCTTGCTTATGTCCTGTCATCTCTCTTTGCTCCTTGATTTTCTGCTCTAGCTGCATTGGAGTGAGTCTGTGGCCTCTCCATGCTTGTTCTCACTTCTGAGCCTTATACTTGCCATTCCCTTTGCCTGGGTCTTTGCTTGGCTTGCTTCTACTCTTCCTCTGGTCACTATCTCAGTTAGCACTCACCATGTAACAAATAATCCCACAATCTAGTGCAGGACAACAAACATTTATTATTTCTTGTGCTTCTTCATTCACATGGTGATGGGCCAGTGTCAGCTGGGATGATGGGGACGGGCCATGTATCTGTCCTCATGGAGCAGGCTGGCCTGGCAGGGTCTCAGGTACCTGAGACCAGTGAGGGACAAGATCCAGGGCATAAGTGACCTTTAGACCTTGACTGAGTCACCTTTGGTGACATCTCTTTGGCCCAAACAACGTTCCATGGCCACCCCTAGGGCTTGGATGGGGGAGGAATGGCTTATGACTGTGTTTTACAGTCTGTCAATAGCATGAGGTTTCTCTCCCAGAAGCAGCCACTATAACCTGCTAGAATTATTCATCTATGCTCGAGCAAACATACACACGCACACAGTATACACATGCATGTGTGCACCTGTTTGTCCTTGACCCTTTGTGCATGTGAATGGTGACTCACCATGACCTCTGTTCTATACCTTGTTCCTGCTACTTAATGATAGACCTTGGAGATAATCTCATATAAATATATAAAAAATTCTTGTCTTTCTTACAAATGCATACTCTTGCATTCCAAGAACCACGATTTGCTTGTGTTTAGCAAGAATATAAGGCACCCAGTTAAATGAAAAGTTCCAGTGAACACCAATAATTCTTGGTATAAGTATGTCCCATGAACTGTTTAGGACATACTTACACTACGAAAATATTCATTGTTTAGTGGCATTTCCATTTGAACTGGATCATGAATCTGACACACTGGATGTGTTGAGTTTTAGGATGTCTCTGATTTCTTGCTGATTTGTTCAGTGCTACGGGTCCCAGCAGAACAGGAGGGTGTGTGCGAAAGGTGTACCTGAGGGGAGACTGAGGGGAGACTGAGGGGGGCAGGACGCACAGAGGAGGGCCAGGCATGGGGAGCCAGCCGCTGGGGCCAGCATGAAGGGCAGCATGGGGGCAAAGGGAGTGGGCGGGCGCTGACCCACCAGGGCATCTTGCAGGCAGCACACACCTGCCCGCCCGTTCCCCTTCCAGTCCTGCAGACTCAGAGCCCCATGGAGGGCAGGACATGGGCTGCCCCACACCGCAACCGGTACACACACCCGCAGCCCCTGGGCTGATGTATCTGTGGGGTGAAGTCCTAACATGAAGTTCCAAGGTCAAAGTGTGTGTGAATTTGTGATTTTTTAAAAATTGAGGTAACATTTACAACAGTTACTCATTAACCATTTTCTATCCTGTTCTATTCTGTTCTATGCTTTTATTTTAAGTAAGGTCTGGGCCCAACAGGGGGCTTGAGCTCATGACCCCGAGATCAAGAGTGGCGTGTTCCACAGACTGAGCCACCCAGGTGCCCCCCATTACCCTTTCTCAAGTGTACATATGCTTTAATGGTATTTAGTACATTCACAAGGTCACGCAACCATCAGCACTCTCTGGTTCCAGAACATTACCTCATTCCAGAAAAACCCATTCCCATCAGCGCCGACCCCTCTCCTCCCCCAGCTGCTGGCACCTGCCGGCACCTGCCGCCACCTTTCTGTCTCCGGGGTTCACCTGTTCGGGAGGTTGCACACGCATGTTGCAGGGTGCACGGTGAGGGGTGCTGCCATGAGGCCATTGGTGCAGTACGGCAGATGCCCCAGCACCCAGACGCTGGCCGGAATGAGGCTTCTGGCCCGGGCTGGTCCCTGATGGCCTCCTTTTGCAGCGGTCGAAGCAGTCGGGGAGCTCTGCCGCTGTTTCTGCCCCTGTTGTCCCTCAGCGTCATCTCTCAGAGATTCGGAAACCCCTTCTGTGGGGGCGGCGGCCTCGGCAGGGGTCGGCACGCTTCCCCTGGAAAGGTCCGGACAGTCCGAGGTTGGGTTTCATGGGCCAGATGGTTTCCTCCCTATCTGCCTGCAGGCCCTGTGCTGGGTGTGGGGGCCTGAGTGTGAGCAAGAGCCTTGCCATCCTGGTCACCCTCCTGGCCCTCCTGGACTCATGCTCTCATGGAACGGAAAGTGAGAACTAACAGCAGACAGTTGGACCAACAGCAGCCTGAGCCTGGAGGGATCGGTCAGCTTCCGGAAAGCACTTGCTTAGCGTCCGGGAAGGTGGCTCTGAGGACGTGACTGCTGAGCCTCCAGATGGGGAAGGAACCTGTCTGCAAGTTGAGGGAAAAGGAGGGCAGCAGGCGCAAAGGCCCCGGGGCAGCAGGGCAGGATGTTGCCGAGCATGGGGCAGGGCTGCAGCCCAGTGGGGGGCGAGAGGAGAGAGAGCAGCGCTTGCTGGAGAAAGGACTTGGGTTCACCTATCCCCCGCCCCGGACCCCTCTGGGCTGGTGCTTGGGGCCCACCTGCTAACGGCTCGTTCTCTCTCCCCTCAGTACATGGGCTGCATCGAAGTGCTGCGCTCCATGCGCTCTCTGGATTTTAACACCCGCACCCAGGTGACCAGGTGAGCCTCGGACACCAGCCGCTGTGGGGCCAGGGGCTCGGGGCAGCTGGGGAGGCCCGATGAGAGGCTTCGGAGGTGGCTCAGACAGCTTGCCCTGGGAGCCCAGGATGAGAGGCGCTATGAGGTTCCCTCCTGCCGCCCGGCTTGGGCAACAGTGTGGCGTGGACTTGGAATGGCCTTGGGGTGGGGCGCATGGTGTCTGAGTCCCCATTCTGTCCTGCCCTCCAGAGGCCCCTGCTCCCCAGGCCCTGGATTTTCTCTCTCAGGTAGAGAGGATGCCTGGTCCCTCGCGGTGTGTGGGACCTGCGGGTGCTGGATCGTTCCTGGTTAAGACTCGGGTCAGGGCCGACAGGGGCTGGGAGCCTGTCCAGGGCGGAGACAGCATCTCTGTGGTCCCTGCTGTCTTTGGGGCAGAGAAAGCACGGTGACCTCATGGTGCTCTGAGCTTCTGGGAACAGTAACGAAGGGTTCTGGGTACAGCCAGGGCCGAGCCCAAAGGGAGAGACGTCTTCTTACCTGTGAGCAGTAGACATGAGAACACTCCGCCGAGATGGAATTCACGAGCCAGCAGCTCACCCGCTAGAGTGCACAAGCCGATGTGTTTTGGTTTCTTCACGGGGTTGTGCAACCACTCCCTCCCCAGTTCCAGAACATTCCATGAGCCCAAAAAGAGGCTCTGTCCCTATCAGCGGTCACCCCCTCTCCCACCCCTCCCCCATCCTCCGCCCCCACTAGCCCCCTTCCCATGCGTGGAGGAGCCTGGTCTGGACGTGTCACACACATGGACTGACACCCTGTGTGGCCTCCTGTGTTTGGTTCCCTCCCTGAGCGTTGTGGGCTCGGGGTCGTCCCTGGGCCGGTGTGTCGGGACCTCGCTCCTGCTGGGGCCGGGGACGCTCCTGCGCATGGGGGACACCTGTGTATCTGTTCACGGGTCGGTGGTTATCACAACTTGAGCTGCTGTGAACAGGTCTTGTGTGGATTGTGTTTCCTTTTTCCTGGGTGTGTCACCCGGATGTGGGGGGCTGTGTGCTGACCCCACGTCTCGCTGTTTGGAGACCTGCTGGACCATTTCCAGGTGGCAGCTCCGTTCACCTTCCCGCCGGCTGGATGCGAGGGTCTGGTTTGTTCTCATGGCACCAGCGTTTTCCGGGCCCGGTGTGGTCTGACTCAGGGTTCCGTGACGTCCTGGCCCCCTGGGGCGTTGGCAGTTTCCCAGCAGTCTGTTGCTTATTGTCTGGGGGATCCCAGAGCAGAGTCACCCTCTCACGCCACAGATGGGGATCTGACGGGCCTGTGGCCACGCGGAACTTGGGGTCCAGGCTCTGGGGCTGTGGTCATCCCCTGTCTGTGTGCTGTGGTCTAAAGTTGGGCTGTGGTCCAGGGATGCGTTGGTCACTGAGAAGGGAGGCGCTAGAGGGTGAGAGCCAAGGGTGGTGTGTGTGGGGGGGGATCCGCAGGCATGCACGGGGTGGGGGCTAGTAGCCCTGATCCAAGGCTCTGTCCCTTCCTCCCCTTTCCAGGAGCCCTAGCTTCCTTCCTTCCTGTGAGCCCGTGGCATCTGACCCCCACACTCTGTGAGCTCTTGCCTCCTCCCCAAGCGCCCCCCCAAGCTCACTGAGCCCCCTCCTCCCTCCCCCCCATGCAGGGAAGCCATCAACCGGCTCCATGAGGCGGTGCCTGGCATCCGGGGCTCCTGGAAGAAGAAGGTGGGTGAGGGGCTCCCGGTCCCTGAGTGGCACTGGTGGGCGTGGCTGGAGCAGTGGGGGCTGGTGTGGCCAACCTTGGGCCCCGCCCCAGCGCCCCCCCACCCCCGCAGCCTTGCCTTCTGCAGCAGCGCAGGGCTCGCCAGCCTGCAGGCCCCACACTGCCCTCTCCCCCGTCCCCACCCCAGGCCCCCAACAAAGCGCTGGCCTCCATCCTGGGCAAGAGCAACCTGCGCTTCGCCGGCATGAGCATCGCCGTGAGCATCTCAACTGACGGCCTCCACCTCTCGGTGCCCGCCACGCGCCAGGTGGGTGCCACCAGCTGCGGGGCCGCCCGGGGTTCTGGGGGAGGCTGGAGGGGTGCTGGGTGCAGGGCCGCGTGTGGACGTGGTCACCTGGGGTGTGCAGAGACTCCACCCTGAGCCAGGAGCTGAGCCGCCCTCATGGCAGGCACAGTGCCGGGCTGTCACCAACCACCACGCCCGCACAGAGACTGACCCGGACGTGGGTTCTGCAGTGCCAGGGGGAGGGCCCTGGCTTGGAATCTTGGTGGAAACCAACCAGTGAAGTGAGGGAATAATTACAAATCCCCAAAAGGAGCATGGGGCCCGGCAAGGGATGTTGTAGGTGTGCAGTAGGCTCTGTGACCAAGCAGGGGCCTCATGGAGGGCTTCCCAGAGGTGGTGACACTAGCTCGGAGGGAGGAGGTGAGCAGAGGACATCCCAGGCAGAGGTCCTCTGTGGGGAGACAGAGGTGGAGAAGTCACAGACTTGTCGAGACAGCACTGTGACCCTGGAGAGTGCTGGGATGTGAGGCTGTGGGGGCACACGGCGGGAGGGAACCCAAGCCAGGTTGTGTGTGGCGGACCTGGGGAGCCACTGACTGCTCCCTGGGTCACAGAGGAACCTGAGCACTCAGGACAGCCATGGATGGTGGCAAGCGAGCACGCAAGCGAACATGGAAACGAGTGTGCAAATGTGCACACAGGACAAGCATGCAAACGAGGGGTGCATGCATAAGTGAACATGCAAATGAGCCAAGCCATGCAAATGAGCATGCAAATGGGCATGGGGCTGGGGGGCATTGTGGAGCCTGGAGCCTGGGGCGGTCCTGCCTGTGTCTCTGCCTGTGAGGCGGCCCTGGGTGTGCCCAATGATCCCGCCGCCCCCGGTGTCGTGTGCGTGGACGTGCAGGCCCACGTGGGGCATGTTAGGGTGTGGAGAGGGCTTGAGTGTGTCCCGGTGTATGTGGTAGTGGCTGTGTGTCTGGACCTGTCCGCATGGGGGCATCTGTGCAGGGAGGAGTGTGTCTGTGTCTCTGTGTGTGACTGTGCGTGTCTGTGTGTCTGTGGGTGTTGGGTGTGTTTGCACATGCTTGGGGGTGGGCGTGACCTCTGCACCCTGCCCTGGGGGCCGTCCCCATCCAGGTGTATTTCTGGTCCACTCCCCGTGGCCCTGGCCCGTGACCACGTATGTCTCTCTCCGGCCAGATCATCGCCAACCACCACATGCAGTCCATCTCCTTCGCGTCGGGTGGCGACACGGTAAGGCCGGGGGCTGGGGGTGGACTCATGCCCCCTCTGTCCCCTGAAGAGGGCCCAGCACCGCTGGATCCGGGGGTGGCCTCCTGGCCAGGGTGACCCCTGCCCCATGCTCGCTCTCTTTCCAGGACATGACGGATTACGTAGCCTATGTAGCCAAGGATCCCATCAACCAGAGAGGTGAGGTCCCGGTGGGGGTGGCTGGGGGCCCCGAGGGCCAGGCTCATGGATGCCCCATAACATGCCGCCATCCGCAGCCTGCCACATCCTGGAGTGCTGCGAGGGCCTTGCCCAGAGCATCATCAGCACCGTGGGCCAAGCCTTCGAGCTGCGCTTCAAACAGTACCTGCACAGCCCCCCCCGGGTGGTTGTGGCCCCGGAAAGGTACAGGCCCGCCTCGTCCCGTCTTCCCGGGGATAGCGTGTGCCCTGACCGAGGCCAGGCGCCCGGGCCCCGTGCTTGCCTCCTCCGCGTTGGGGGCCGTCTCCGCTTTGTCCCGACTTTCCTCCCTGTGCCCCGTGGGCTCGTGGCCCGGCCGCCGGGCCCGGCCCCTTGTCTGGGAACCTGGCACAAACACACCGGCTCTGCCCCGGCGGGCTGAGGCGAGCATCTGGGGAGCCTCTCTGGGCGGGGACCCCCGCTTCTGCAGAGGGCCAGAGGGTCCATGCTCTCGGCTGTGCGGCGGGACCGCCTGTCCTGGCCGCTGTGGCAAGAGCAGCCGTGGGGGTGCCTCGAGGGCTCCCCAGGCTGAGGGCGAGCAAGTCTGTATTTACAGACACAAAGTTTGGACTTGACGTCACTTTCACATGTCACCAAACATTGTTCTTTTGCTGTTCTCTGAATCATTTAAAAGTTCTGTGGCTTAAAAGAGAAGAATCCATTCTTAGCTCCTGGGCCGCCGCCTATGGGCAGCCGGCCAGATCGCAGAGCCCCGCGCTCAGCTGCCTGGCACGCGAGGTAGCAAACCGCCAGACTACGTAGTGGGTAAACCCTGTGAGCCATTCCCGAGAGTGGAGTTCGCAGGGACAGACTGGGCTGCGGGAGTCCTCACCCGCGTGCCGGGAACCCCGTCCCTGTGGGCTCACGCCTCCACACACACGCACGCCTCCCGGGCCTTGCAGGGGCTGGGGGTTTGGGGGCCGGTCCCCGCGGCTTCCCCTGTTTTCCTCTCAGGACCCGCAGGGCCAGAGGGCAGGGCCGTGGCAATGCTGACAGCACTCCCACCCTAACCTCGGAACTGGCTCTGGGTACAAACTTGGGGCGAGCGTGTCCCCCCACCCCGCCAGAGCAAGGACCACTGTGGTTTAGCAGAAGCGCTGGGGAGCTCTCGGGACCCCGGTGTGTAGAGGAGGAAAGAGCGCCTAGCTCCCCCCACAGCCAGGCCGGGAGCGTCAGAGGCCTGAGCCGGAAACTCAAGCCGCAAGGCCTTGGCACCCTCTTGGGGGTCCCCATTCTCTCTATCCCGAGTCCTGGGGCTCCTGCCTGTGCTCCCGCTTGCTGTCTGTCCCCAGGCTGACCAGGCCAGAGGACGCGGCCTGGGGGGATGAGGAGGAATCGGAACACAATTACTACAACAGCATCCCAGGGAAGGAGCCGCCCCTGGGCGGGCTGGTGGACTCCAGGCTCACGCTAACTCAGCCCTGTGCCCTGGGGGCCCTCGGCCAGGTCAGCTTCTGTGGACCTCATGGGCTGGGCCGGCTGGGGTGGGGGGTTGAGGGGGGTTGTCCCCAGGCGCTGACTTCTCAGGCCTAACCCCAGCATTTCCTTTTCTTTCTCTCCTCTGTGATCAAGGTGGCGGGTCCTGTGCCTTCCTCCCTTCCCTCCCCAAACCGCACAGGGCGTCCGGCCCTACTCCAGACTCAAAACCCTGAGTGGATTCTCGTATCCACAGTCTCACCAGGGCCATGAAAGGGGCGTCCGGGGTGGTACCAGGAATCTATGACAGGGAGTCCGACTCTGGGGTCAGGAGGACTTTCAGGAGGAAGCAGCATTTGGGCCCAGCCCTGACGGGTGAATAGGAGTTGCCTGGGAGAGCCGTGCGGGGAAGGGCATCCAGGTGGGAGGAACAGAATGTGGCAGGAAGGTGCAGCAGGCAGCTGAGGCTTCGGCAGAAGTGCGTGGAGGGTTGAGGAGGGCAGTGTTGGACCCAGGGACGGGGGCGTCCCTTGCCTTTGACCTATGTCTCCAGCCGTGCAGGAGGGTGGGGCTCCAGGCGAGGGGACTTGCCTGTGGCTGGAGGACCCTCACTCTCTTTTTCAGGGGGCATCTCCTGCTCGAAGGGACACGTGCAGCCTGCCGTGGGACCCAGGCGCCTCCAGTGCTGGTAGGTGCCCCGCCCCGCCCCGCCCCGCCCCACCTCTCTCTTCACTTTGCCCTGTGAGACCGAGCTCACTCCCTGCTCTTGGGGTTAACGGTGTCAGTTTCTTTTTATTCCGCACAGACTACTTTCTCTGCATTTTGGGCAGAGGTGCTGTATTCCCCTGGTTCAAAATGCTGGGGTGTAAAAACGCCTTCGGTGAGACGTTGCTGGGCACCCCTGCCCCATCTGCCTCTCCACCTCCCCCGGCCGGCCACCACTGTCGTCGTTGCTGGTTTCGTTTTCCTGGCATTTTCCGCATCTATTGCGGCCCGTTCACAAGTGCGTGTCGTTCTCCACGATCTCACGGACTGTGGGGGCTGTGCTCGCGTCCAGCTCACTTCCCCACGCAGCTGTCCATCCTGGGGTTCGCTCTGCGCCTGTCCGTGCACACGTCCTCACCCTTGTTCTCCGCAGTGGACCACTCTGTTCTGTTTTGCCCCTGCTCGGCTCGGAAGTGGGCTGGACCTCCAGGTGTGTGCTGTGATGACAGCACGGGGCGGGTTAGGGTTCTCAGTAGGGTCCGTCCCCCGAGTGGCTGCTCCTTCTGTTTGGGTAGAAGTCCCGTCGTTGTGCACCCATCAAGGTACAGTGGACTTTTGTTCTGACAAAACGATTGCGTTTTCAGCCTGTGAGCCTCTCACCCCATTACACGTAGTTGGAAGTGACCTGCCTTCCCCTTGCAGCCAGGAGTGTTTTCTTGCACACTTGGTGCGACGTGCAGAGGTGCTGGCCCTCGAGGTGTGTCGGTCCGCGCTCACCACGGCGTCCGTCCACAGGGCTGCGGGCTTGTGCCCAGACCCCACAGCTCAGCTTGTTCTGCTCGCGAGGGCCCTCCTGCGGGGCACGGAGGGCCTTGCGGCTGTGTTTGCCCTGCGGAGGCCGAGCTGGGGGACGGCCAGGAACAGTCTTCGTCACACTCCCAGAGGCTGTGGGGCTGTCCGCCCACCAGCCCCGCTGCAGCTGCCTGTTTCCCCCACAGCCTCACGAACATCTGTGCTGGGTTTGGGGTCGTTTCTAGATCTTTCCTGGTAATCTGGGCGTCTTCGGCGCTCCTAGCACGGTGTTTAAAGGCCACTTCTGTTGTTGGGCGCCCTGCAGGTGCCCAGCTAAGATCGCGCCCTGGTACCTGGTCTGACTGCCCCGCGTCTCCCAGCCCCAAGCCTCTGCATGCACTGCTAGTGCTTCTGGTTATGCCTTTCCCTGTTGTCTAGCTGAGAACTCCTACCGCTATGTTCATGCCCCAGCTCTGATGCCCAGGAGTTTGCTCTCAGTCTGGATTCCTGCAACCCAGGCTTATTCCACCGGCTCTGGCTGTGGTAGGCTGGGAGAATTTGTCCCTCTCCAGGCAGGCCAGGAGGCCTGCCCTCTGCCTATATCAGCCACCCGGGACCCACACGTTGTCAGCACTCAAATTGAATCATAATTTTTTTTAGAGTATTAATTAATTAATTAATTAATTATTTATGTGAGTGAGCACGCAAGCGGGGGAGGGGCAGACAGAGGGGGAAGCAGGCTCCCCACTGAGCAGGGAGCCCAATGCCGAGCTGGATCCCAGCACCCCGGGATCATGACCTGATCTGAAGGCAGACGCTTAACTGACTGAGCCCCCCAGGCGTCCTAAATTCTAACTTTGGCGATACTGTTCTAAGGTTGTAACCCTCAGCCCTGCTTATAAAGGATCTAACCCTAGCTCCCCATTTCACAGAGGAAGAGACGGGGGCGCAGAGAGGTTAGCAGACCTGCCCATGTCCACAGAGGACAGATGGGGCTGGCGTGTGAGTTCACATGTCCCGGAGGGTAAAGATGTCACTGGCATGACGTGGATATTACAAACCACAGGGCTCTTGGGCTGGACATGGCCACACAGTGTATTGAAATCATGATTTCTCTGCCAAGGATTAAAAACAGTGACATTTAGAAACGAACAGACAGTTCTGAGAAAAATACACGCGGATGCCCTTTGACCCTGGGACGAGAAGCTCAGCCTTGCTCAGGTGCGGGAAAAGGAAACTGCCGTCCCCCAGACGCCGCTTCCCGCCTCTCAGCCCAGCAGACCGCCCCCGGCACCTGGTAGGACACGGTGGCCGAGGCCAGGGGCCTGGTCAGGCTCTGGCAGATTCTGAGCGGCCACAGGGGAGGAGAACTTTGATGCAATGTGGGTTTTCAGCCACGACAGCGCTTCACACACTCACAGTTAAGGAGAGAAGAAAGGAAACCCTAAAAGAGCACAGGCACACGATCGAGCGACCCATGTGTTGTGTGGGGAACGTAGTTACAGGGAGACCAGTTTCACTGTGATTAGATTTTGGATGTGCGCATTAGCCTACGCGTGGGGCTTTCTGCTACCGTCCTGCCTGGTGGCAACGTCCCTGCCTGGGGGGGCCCTCCAGAGCCCGCAGCCCCTGGGGGGACGTTCCTGGGGTCTGTCACTCCAGGCGGTGCTGCACGCGCCTGCAGCTGACCCTCCACTCCTCCTGCGCTCCCCAGGCCCGCCGGGGGACGGCTACGTGCAGGCCGACACCAGGGGCCCCAGAGACTACGAGGACCACCTGTACGTCAACACACAGGGCCTGGACGCCCCGGACGTTCTGCAGCCGGAGGACAGCCCCAAGAAGGATCTGTTTGACATGCGTATGTGGGGACAGGCCAGCCGGAGGGGGGAGGTGTGCCCCTAGCAGCCAGTGGTCTGATGGGGGTGGCCCAGCCTTCTTCCCCTTGGGACTTTGCAAGTTGGTGAGGGTAGGGTGAGGGGACTCCCTAGTCCGATAGGGGAGGCTCTGAGCCCCCCCTCCCTGGGGCTCTGAAGTCTCTTGGGGGTGACCCAGTTTCCTCTCTGTAGGGGTCTCTAATCTGAGGGGAAGGGCATTGAAAGAGTAGCTGGTATGAGGGGGGAGGCTCAGGCCCCTCTTCTCTATGGGACGCCTCTGTCTCTTGAGGGAGGCTTAGCTCCTTCCCTCGGGGTCTCCTCAGCCTGATGAGGGTATTTTAGCTCCTCCATCGTTTGAGGAAGTGGGCCCAAACCCCTTCCACTGGGAATCCTGGCCTGATGGGGGAGGCACCCTTGGGGGGACCACTCCTTTGGGTGGGAGGACCCAGTCTGGTGGGGGCAGGCCTAACCACATATCGATAGAGTGAACAGCGGATGGGGGAGGCGTTTCCTTCCTTCCCTCTGGGATACCCTGGCCTGACAGAGGACTCAGTCTGATGGAGGAGGCTTGTGTCCAAACAGCCCCCTTATCTGCCACAACATCAGTGCCATCCTCTTCCACAAACACCATGGGGCTCTTGGCTCCGTGCTGGCCCACGCAGGGTCACTTCCCTTCCTCAGGACACCTCCCTAGTGGGAGATCCCCAAGAACCAACCAAGCCAGCTGGAGATTTCTTCCTTCCCAGAGTCCGCCAAACCCCCTCCCCCACCTCTGATGTGGCACGAGCTGAGGTCCTTTGGGCACCCACCGTGCACCAGTCAGAGGACTAAAAGCGTGGCCCCTGCTGGCTCACAGCAGCCCTCAGATGGGAAAGGAGGTGCTCCTGTGGGAGCTGCTGCTTCTTCTTTTTTTTTTTTTAAAAAGCTTTTATTTGTTTATTTGACAGAGATCACAAGTAGGCAAAGAGGCAGGCGGAGAGAGAGGGAGAGGGAAGCAGGCTCCCCGTGGAGCTGAGAGCCTGATGTGGGACTCGATCCCAGGACCCTGAGATCATGACCTGAGCCGAAGACAGCGGCTTAACCCACTGAGCCACCCAGGCGCCCCACTGTGGGAGCTTCTGAGGTCGGCTGTCCCCTTAGGGGGCACGATGTCGCAGCAACCCCAGCGAGCCTTCCATTGAAAATTCTGGGTCTGCGTCTGATTTGTCCAGCCTGGGTCATTGGGTGGGAGGGTGAGATGAAGGTGTTGACTGGCCAGGCCTGGTCGTGTGTCCTGCTGGCTGGAGGCTGGGTCAGCTGCAACTGGACCAGCGAAGGAGTCAGGCAGGAGGGGTTCCCGAGGAGCAGAAGGGGAAGGAGTGTGGGGGCACAGGACACAGCTGCGCCAGGGTCGGGGTCAGGGCTGGGGTTCTGATCTGTGCTGTCCCACGTGCAGTTTTACGAGGAGGAGACAGGTTCTGAGAGGGCGAATGGCCTGTTTGGTGTTGCACTGTGCTGGCCATGAGCCTCAGAAAGCCTCCTCAGAGCCCAGAAGCTTGTCTAGGGGAGTGCCGGAGAGAGGAATGCCAGCCTGCCTCCTGCCACCAAGTGCACTGTTGTATGGAGCACAGTGTTGTATCGGGGGCTGGCCGGGGCCATCAGGCAATCAGTGAAACAGGAGGTAGACGTGCTGGGAAGTGAGCCAAAGTGACGAGACAAGAAAACGAAGCAGGTGTCCACACTGGAGAGAGAGAAGCTCTTTATTTTCATATACCTAAAACTCTAAGAGAATATCCCACATAACTAGACCCCAGGGGACAGTGAAGAAGGCACCACCCAGCACACACACGGAGCACATGCGCACACCCACCCAGCACACACCCACCCGGCACACACGGAGCACGTGCACACACCCACCCGGCATACACGGAGCACGTGCACACACCCACCCAGCACACACCCACCCGGCATACACGGAGCACGCGCACACACCCACCCAGCACACACCCACCCGGCACACACGGAGCACGTGCACACACCCACCCGGCATACACGGAGCACGTGCACACACCCACCCAGCACACACACGGAGCACGCTCAGCACGCAGCCGGGCAAGGTCTGATGCCCTGGACGCTCGGTTCCCAGGAGTCCTCCCCTCCCCTCCCCTCCCCTCCCAGCCCAGACCCCTCCCTCTCCCACAGGAGGCAGCCGCCCGCCGTTGCCTCCTGCACGTCGTCCTCGCCTGCAGGGCCCTTCGAGGATGCTCTCAAGCTGCACGAGTGCTCTGTGGGGGCGGGCACGGCGGCGGCTCCCCTTCCCTTGGAGGACCAGTGGCCCAGCCCCCCCACCCGCCGGGCCCCCATCGCCCCCACGGAGGAGCAGCTGCGGCAGGAGCCCTGGTACCACGGCCAGATGAGCCGAAGGGCGGCGGAGAGGCTGCTTCGAGCCGACGGGGACTTCCTGGTGCGCGACAGTGTCACCAACCCGGGGCAGTACGTCCTCACCGGCATGCACGCGGGGCAGCCCAAGCACCTGCTGCTCGTGGACCCTGAGGGCGTGGTAAGGCGGGGCACAGGGGCTGGAGGCGGGGCCGGGGTGGGCGTGGCCGTAGGCTGGGGGTGGGTCCGCAGGCTGGAGGCGGGGCCGGAGGTGGTGGAGGGGCGCTGAGGGGGCGGGGCCGGAGTGGGGGGGTGGTCCGCAGGGGGCTGGGGCGGACGCGGCCCTGGCCGCCCACCTCAGCCTCCTTTGGGTTTAATGAAGTATTTTCCGAGTTGCAGAGCCTTTGCGCGTGCAGGTTCCGTTCTCGCGACCAGGTGACTCAGTTACAAAGCGGTTCCGCTGTAACACGGGTCGTCGTGTCTGTAGAGGGTTCCCGAGTCCGCACAGCATTCCGGGGGTTACGAGGCCTTTTCCAGTTTCAAGGCCTTTCAGGGCTTACAAAGCACTACATTCAGTGCGCTTTTCTCCCACGGTCCACCCGCACTGTGTGGCTTACAAACAATGATGTCTTTGAGTGGTAAATACGATGTTTTTCTTTTCCAGCGTGTTTTAAGGCTCACAGAGCATGTTTCCATTTACAAGGAATTCTGGGGTCTCCAAGTTACTGGATGTGCACTTTTCTCTCACTTTGACGCCTTTGAAGCCTGCGTGTTTTTTTTTTTTTTTAAGATTTTATTTATTTGTCAGAAAGAGAGAAAGAGTACACAAGCAGGCAGAGAGGCAGGCAGAGGCAGAGAGAGAAGCAGGCTCCCTGACGAGCAAGGAACCCCATGCGGGACTCAATCCCAGGACGCTGGGATCATGACCTGAGCCGAAGGCAGCGGCTTAACCCACTGAGCCACCCAGGTGTCCCTGGTTTTTTTTTAAAGATTTTATTTATTCACTTGACAGAGATCACAAGTAGGCAGAGAGGCAGGCAGGTGGGGGTGGAAGCAGGCTCCCCCGAGGAGCAGAGACCCCGATAGGGGGCTCCATCCCAGGACGCTGAGATCATGACCTGAGCCCAAGGCAGAGGCTTAACCCACTGAGGCCCCCAGGTGCCCCGAAGCCTGTGTGTCTTTTAAACCTGTCTTTGAGCGGCATGATAGTTTTGCTGGGGGTTTTCCCCTCTCCTTGAGGAACACGAAACAGGATGCCGCTTACCATTGCTTGGTATTCTCAGTTCGTAAAGCGTTTTGGGGTTTGCAGAGCACTTTTCAGTTTACAAGGAGTTCTGGGGTTTATGAAGCATTTTCCAGTGTCCAAGGGCCTTGGGGTTACAGGGTATTGCACAGGGGAAGGAGCCTGGGGTGTTAGGGTCTCCCCAGGTGCTTTGATGGCATCCAGCTGGGACCTCAGAACTGCCCCGGGAGCTCCATCCGCTCTCTGTCTCTCCGAGGGGGTCACACTCTCGCGGTGGGGGCGAGGCTGTGGGGCCTGTTCTCAGTTCCCCTTGTGTGGCTCTCCTGTCACCTCAGAACCTCCTGGGCCCCGTTCCCTCTTGCTAAGTGGGTCTACCGGATAGGGTCCGCAACTCCTAAAGCTCCAGAAACTTGGGAGCTTCCTCAAATACTTGGTTAAAGGGCTGACTCCAGGTCCCAACCCTGGAGAAACCTATTTCTAGAGAAACCCTATTTCTAGAGAAATAGATGCTTTTGCCACAGGGCCCAGGAGTGTGCCTTCTGAGCCTGCTTTGCCCACGAAGCAGGGGGCCGGAGGGTTCCCGTCCGGGCTGGGTCCAGTCCTCGCCCGTGCTGATGTTCAGGTTTTCTCATTCCAAGAGGCAACAGGTGGTTCTCTGCTAGGTGTTCCCAAGAGGTTCTGGGAGTGCCTGGCCAGACGGCAGCCAATGGAGTGGTTCCAACAAGGGCGGGGTCTTCTGAGATGCAGGTGTCGTGGGGCAGGCTCCTGCTGAGGCTCGGTGGGGAGGACCCGCTCCCCCAGGTCCTGGAGGTGCCGCAGCCCTTTGGTCTCTGCCTTGCCGGCTTTCTGTGTCCAACTTTCCTACTCTTACAAGGACATCAGTCGTTGGCTTTGGGGCCACCAGAATACACTCATCCGGAGACTCTTAAGCACATCTCCAAATAAGGTCCCAGCTGCAGGTTCCAGGGGTTGGGACATCGACATGTCCCTTTTGGGGCCTCTGTTCCACCTGCTGTCGGAGGGGTGGCCCCAGAATCCTGTGGTCTTGGAGCCCGTGTCCATACCTGACACCAGAAAGCCGAGTCTGATTCCACGGAAGCTTCTGAGCTGTGGTTCTCAGACTTGAGCGTGCATCAGACCCCCGGGGAGGGCCCGTGGGAGCGCAGGTTCCCGGTGAGTGGCCCGTCCACAGGCTCCTGGCGGTGCTGACGCTGAGGCTTCTGGCCGTGCAGGTGCGGACCAAGGACGTGCTCTTTGAGAGCATCAGCCATCTGATCGACTACCACCTGCGGAGCGGGCAGCCCATTGTGGCCGCGGAGAGTGAGCTGCACCTACGTGGTGTGGTCAGACGGGAGCCCTGAGCCAGGTGAGCCCTGAGCCAGGTGCGTACCTGCCCACAGGCTCCTGGCACTTACCCATTCACCCAGTTGTCGTCTCATTTGGAAAATCACAAAAGAATTCACCCATTTAAAGTGTGCAACTCAGTGGTTTTTAGTGTGTTTAGAGAAGTGCAACCATTCTGTTAATTCCAGAACATTCCATCATCCTGAAAGGTGCCCCGTCCCCATGAGCAGTCACTCCCCCCACCTCCCCCATCCCCGGACCTCACAAGCCCCCTCCCTGTCCGTGGAGGAACCTGTTCTGGGTGTGTCACACGCGGGGACTCACACCCCGTGTGGCCTCCTGTGTCTGGTTCCCTCCGTGAGTGCCGTGGGCTCGGGTTCTGTCCCCGGGCATGTGGGGGCTTCGCTGCTGCTGGGGCCGGGGACGCTCCCGCGTGGGGACGTACACACGTTCATCTGTTCACTGTCCGTGGACGTTTGGGTCTTTCCACGTTTTGGTTGGTACGTTATGATTGATGCCGCTCAGAACGTGCGTGCGTCTCCGTGTGGAGAGGTGTTTCATGGCTCCCGGGTCTACGCCCAGGAGGGGAGTTGCTGAGTTGTCTTGGCAACTCTGGGTCTCACTGGTGATAAAGCGTCTCTGGAGGAGGTGGCTGTACCCTGGAGAAAGGACTCAGGGCTGCCTGGGTCTGGGGGGCGTTCACGGAGCCATGGGTGAGATGGAGAGGCACTCCCTTGGCCTTTGGCTTTGGTGCTGGGGAGCCATGGGAGGGTTTGAGCTGGGGGCGGACAGGCAGGTCGGGGTGATTCCAGGACCCTTTTGGTGAGAGACTAGGGCCTCTGGGTGCGGTGGGGGGTGGTCTAGGCAGGAGAAGATGTGGCTGAGCTGGGCCGCATGGACTTCCACAGGGAGGAGGGTGAGATAGGACCTGGGCTCTGAGAAGCTGGGAGCTGGGGGCTCAGCTGGGGAGGGAGGGGCTGCAAGAGAAGAGGGTCGTGGGGGTCCCCCCAGAGCTCGGCAGAGAGGAGTTTCCACCGGGTTGGGCTGCTCTCCAGTCCCCAAGAACACGGGCCCCTTCCCGCCTCCTCCGGGTTCCCAGCCGGGCCTGAGGCTGCGGACACAGAAGGGATTTCCAGTCTGGGGCGCGGCTTTAGGGGCTGGGAGTGGACGCCAAATCACCGATGTGATCTGTGGTGCCTTTGGGGCTGGGAGTGGGCGCACGTCAGGCTTAGACACACTTCCCTTCCGTCCCCAAAGGGGTGTGTGACCTGAGAAGCAACGCTGGTGGCCATCACAGTCAGTGGCTGCTGAAGCCGCAGTGGCCGTGTCCAGGCGCGGTGCTTGGCGCCCCAAGACTCCTGAGTCCCAGGTGGTTCTGAGCGTTTTCATTCTGCAGAGAAAGGAACGGCACAGAGAGGTGAAGGCACTGCCCTAGGTCACACAGCAAGAACATGGGGCAGCTGAGACCCCACCCTGGCCCCTCAGCCTGAGGACCCTATCTGGGTCCTGCACCTGAGGTTAGGGGGGCCACTTGGACCTGGCTCTCTGGTGGTTCGCAGCTGACCCTTGACCTCTCCTCTTCTGTCATCCCCAGGTGACGGTGCTCTGCTCCCGCTCCTGTCCCGCTCTGCAGACGCTCCCTGTCGAGGCCTTACGGGCTCCTCAGCTTGTCTCTGGATCCTGGTCAGGCAGAGCCGCCGCTGTCTCTCCTTCCTCGGGTTGGGCCTCTGGATTTTCCTTCTCTAGCCGGCCCTGGGCTGGGCCAGTGAGGCCAAGAGATGGGGGGCCGAAGACCCCCTTCCCTACCGACCCCTGCCTGCCTCCACCCTCTGCCTGGGGTGAGGGTGTCCATACCAAAGACAGAAACTTTTCTCATCTCTGAAGAAAATACATCACAGAAACAGTGCTTTCTCTCCGAGCCCTGGCCAGGGTCCCCTCCGGGTCCAGGAAGCAGCATCTCTTTCCCCAGAGGGACCTCAGCTCACCTCCCTGGAAAGATGGGTTCCGTCCTTGACCGGCTCAGTTTCTCCACCTGAAAAATCAGTGCACAGTTGTCTTTTATGGGGAAGAATTGAGGGGCTTCGGGTCCTCAGGCCGGGACACCTGTGGATGTTGGCATTGGGGTGGGGGAGCCTCAGGGCTCACTGGGACGGTGGGGGACATCCGGGCAGCACCAGGACAATCCACCCTGGTGGGGGTGGTCATGAGGGCCCTGTCCTCCCAGCTGTCCACCTGGACTGGACATTTGGGTCTGTTTATAATTACATGTGGGGATGATGGACACTGAGGGGCCCTCGGGTTGGGAGGCCCAGGCCAGTCTCCCAGGTGGAAAGCAAGGCACAGGTGTGTCCTCCCGTAGCAGGAGGGTGTGGCCCTGGGGGTGTGTCCCTGTGGGGTGGGGGGGTGCTCCCAGAACCGTAGCACTGCCCTCACAACTGTTTCCAGCCCCAGATACAGTGTCCCCACTCCTCTCTCAGACCCAGCCCGGTCCTCTCCAGGGAAGCACCGTAGTTTATCTCCTGCGGGCTGCAGATCACTGTCTTTGAAGAACACTGGGCAAGGAGCTCTTCCTCTTCTCCTGACTGCTCTTAACTCAGCCCTGAATGTGACCTGACTTCTCAGGTGTCCCCACTGCTGTCCCCTAGGAGCCTCTGCTTATCCCCAACACCTCTCCGGACCTTCCCTCACATGATTTCTGGACTCTCCCTCCCAGAGACCTCATCTCTCCCTGGGACCCCTCCTCTGACTATCCCAGAGAGCCCTTCCCGACCCTCACAACACCCTGCCAGGGCCACACCTGTGCCCAGGGTCTGGTTTCTGAAGTCAGCAGGCCCCATCCCCACACCCTGGAGAAGCAGCAGCCCCCGTAGTCAGTCTGTAACGGGGGGGTGGGGGGAGCTGTCAAAAGGCGGAGCCGAAGGGGACTCTGATACCTTGTTTCTTAGAGACATGGAGATGGAGGGGCCAGTCTCTGTCCGTCCATCCATCCACCCACCATCATCTACTCACCCATGCATCCATTATTCATCTCATCCTGGTATCCTTTAGAATGCCAGCATTGGGCTCCCTTTATCTGCCTGGACCTCTGGTGGGTAACGAGGATTTGGGAGGGACCAAGACTGATCTGTCCTCACGGAGTTGACAGTCGAGTGACATGAAGCAGCAAATCCCTGCTAAGTGTGTAATGACAACATGAAAGGATGGAGGCCTGGAATTTAGCCCAGGAAATCCAGGAGGGTGGGAATGACACAGAGTCTTTGGTCTGGAGGATGAGAGGCCCCAGGGAGGAGGACAGCATTCCAGGGAGGAGCAATAGCATGTGCAAAGGCCCTGTGGTGTGTGGCTTGCAGCACAATCAGGGACCAGAAGGGTGGCCTGTGTGGCTGATGGTGAGATCAGAGGGGTGGTGGAGTGGAGGACATGGCTGGGGGAAGCTTAGAGTCAGGGACAGCTGCTGGAGAGCTTTTAAGCACAGAAAAGGATTCCTAAGTGGGAAGTATACGTTGGGGACAGGAGAGGAATAGGGGGCAGTTGGGAGAACTCACTGGGCTCTGGACTAGGGGAGTCTCAGAGACTTGTAGGCTCGCGAGGGGTCCTAATGCACTTTGTTCATTCATTCGTTCCCTGGTGTCGTCCCTCAAAGCCTGTCTGTATGGAGCGGCCCCTGCTGAAGCCTGTGGGTTCCCCATTCTCCCCACTTGACAAATGGGGAAGCAGAGGCTCAGAGGCTGAGGAGCAGAGCTGGGATTCCCACCCCCTCACCTCCCCTGTCCAGCCCTTTGATCTGGGAAAGCCAGGTCTGGGGGGCCCCTGCAGCGGTAGGGCCTGTGAGCCTGGCTGCTGCTGGGTCCCCCGTGTACCTTCAGTTGCTTGGCTGACAGATGCTCCTTGGGCCGGCCTCATCCTCAGGAAGCCTTGGGGTGGGAGGCAGCCACCATGCAGCCTTGGACTGCTTGCTGCCCTTCCCGGAATTGGGCTACTGCCCTGTGCCTCAGTTTCCCCATCTGGAAACCGGGGACGGTGGCCCCCCTCCACGGTGGGTTATCCTGTGCCTCGCTGGGCGGAGGTCTTCCTGTCCCTCTTCCAGGGCAGGAGGCAGTTGCATGGGTTAGGGCGACTTCTCAGGATTGGAGCTTTTTTCTTCGCACTTCCTCAAGGAGCTGTCTGCTGGTGGCTGCCAGGGGCAGCCTGGCTCCTGGGAAGCACCCTGTCCTTCCTGTCTCCCACAAGGTTAGGTCCCTGGGGGCTGGGAGTGGAGGACCAAGGTCCTGCAGCATGAGGGAGCCTGACTAGGGTGGGAGGGGCCCCCTGGGGCCCCGTCCCCAGCCTCCCCACGTCTGATCCCAGGAAAGCTGCCACTTGGGGTGTGGGGACAGTCCTGGGGCCATGCCACACCCGCCAGCCTCAGGGCTCTGCAGAGGAGGTCGGTTTTGCTGACTGGGAGAGACTCCTGTTTATGGAGCGCAAGGCTACCTAACCGGCGGGCAGAGCCAGGGCCCCGGACCCTGCCCCTCCTAAGGCAGATGTCTGGGACGTCCCCCCCAGGTTCCTTGTCTCTCTGGGCCTCGGTTTCCCCAGTCCCTGAAGGTGATGGGCTGGGGGCCTACGGGAGGGGCTTCTGCTGAGCCAGCTGTGCTGGGTTCCCTTCGAGGCCGGGCCAGCCTCCTTTCTCAGCAGTAGCAGCATCCAAGAAACAACGCCCAGTGCCTCTGCACGGTATTCGAGGCCCTGTTGTAAACTTCCTGCCTGTCGCCACCCATTCACCCTCACCCTGAGGCGGTGTGCAGGGACCAAGTGCCCAGAGCACAGAGGCAGAGGTCTGGACACCTGCCAGCCGTCACGCAGCAGCAAGTGTTGGCGTCAGGGTTCCAACCCCAGGGGAGCCCCTCCAGATTAGGGTCCCTGGTTGTGCAGCACGGGAACCAGCTCAGAAGCAGCTCAAGGCCTCCGCCCTCAACCCAATGGGGAGGAGACCTTGCCCCAACCCGGTGAGAGGGCAGTGAAGCCCCCAGGACCCAGGCTGGCTTGGCACCAGAAAACCTGGCACTGTTCCCCCCACCGAGACCTGACTCCGTCACTTACCCTTTGTGAACGCCTCCGTCCCTGTCCATGCAACAGAGGAAAGTGGCTTGTGGCCTCCAAGGCCCGCCGGCCCGCCCACTGCAGGACCGAGTGCTGTAGCGCTACTCGAGGACACAGCTTCCCACTGTGGTGCTAGTTCATCCCCTTGTCTGGCAGGTGTTTGTTAAAGACCCCCATGTCTTGGGGTCACAGCAGGGGTAAGGCTGCCTTCCTGCCTTCCTTCCTGCAGCTCGTGGCCCAACAGGGCAGTGGGCATCAGCCAAATACGTGCTCTAGGGCGCTCTTCATCATGGCTAGAGATGGGGTTCAGTGGGTGTGCGGTCCAGCTGCGACGCTTCCTGGAGGCCAAGGTGAACTGAGGCGTTCACCGGCATCTGCCTCCCCTGTCGGACTTGGTGGCCGTGGCAGTGTCGTCCCAACACAAACGGGCTCAGTGTTTGCTGAGAGAACAAAGCTGAGACAGACCGTGCGAGTCACGGACCTCTCTGAGCCTTGCTTTTCCCATCTGGACCATGGAACTCCAGACCCCACCTCACTCCCAGGGGGTTCTCTCCCACTCCCTCCTGCCCCTCTGCACTGCCTTCTGCTGGTGAACCAGCGGTCATTCCAGACCAGCCCCCATCCTAGCTGGGGCTGCGAGGAGGACACAGGAGGCTCCTGGACAATCATAATTTAAATAAAGTCCAGGCTTTGGGTAGTCCTGGCAACCCATTAACTTGCTGGCTTCTCGCAGATCAAGACCAGACTGGGACCTGGTTGGCTTTAGGGTCCAGAAGGGACGTCGAGGCTGGGAGGGAGGGCCAGGGGTGAGGAAGCAGAGGCGCAGGTGGGCAGAGCTCAAGGCAAGAGTGGTGGGATCCGGGGACCCTGTGGTTTCAGGAATGGCCAGGCCTGGGGGTGGGTCCCGGCTGTCCCCCTCCACACCTCTCAGTCTCTGAGCTGTGAACAGCCTGGTGGGGTTCTCTCCCATCTCCCCTCAGATCACATCTTCCTGCTACCCATTTGTCACCAAACGGACACTCACAATGTGCCTGTGTACCTGTCCACTTGCGTCCCTGGCACTGGGAACCATTGGTAGTCTGGACCCTGCGACCGCTGCCACCAGCTGCTCAATAAACACGCAGGCCGCTCCTCGGGGGGCCGCTGCTGAGTGGACACCTGTTTACCGCGTCCCGGGAGGAGCGCGTCTTAGCTGCTGGGTCCTTAGGTCTGGAAGGAGACCCTCATTTGGACCTGCCCTGGCTGGGGAGGGCAGTGGGGCCTGCCCGCCGGGCTGCTGTGAGCGCTTAGGGGCCTGGCCCTGACAAGGCGCCCCGTGACAAATTCAGCCGCGCCCCTCGTTGCCCGGGAGTCTCGGCAGAGCGGCCCTCCCGAGAACCAGCCCAAAGCGAGTGTGGGGCTCGGGCCCCGCCCAGGCGGGCCGAGGCAGGGGCCGGGGGCTACCGGGGGTCCCCGACTTCGAGGGTCCGCACGCACAAGCGCTAGGGGTGGCCGTCCACACGGCGCCACCACCTGCTGCCTTCCCGCCCGCGCGCACCGGCCCCCGGGGTCGGGCGGAGGGGCGGCCGCCCGCGGCCTGAGGGAGGGGAGGGGCGGGGCGGGGAGGGGCGGGGGCCGCTCGCGCGGCCGTACTAGGAGGAATACGGCGGCGCGGCGGCCGGGCTGGGCGGTTTCCCGCCGCCGCCGGTGAATGAGTCCCTGCTGCGCCGCCGCCGCCGCCGCCGCCGCCCGCCGCCCGTGCTGGAGCTGCGGCCGCGTCCCCCGCGCGGGCCCCGGACCTTCGCGCCAAGACCCCGGCGTGCCCCGCGGGACCGCCTGCAGCCTCGGGCCACCGCCGCGGGGCAGGTGAGTGCGGGGACCCCGCCACGGTCCGCAGGCTCTGCGAAGGTCCCCGCCCCCACCGCAAGCCGAGTCTGGGGGGGTGGAGGGCGGAGAACTGGTGGGAGGGGTCAGCTCGCTATGCCGTCAGCCCCCCGACTCATCTCCTGTCCCAGCCCCCACCCGGGTGCCTGCGCCCTCAGAGCTGGGCGAAGCCACAGGTGGGTGGGAGCTGCGGGGGGTGGGGGCGCCGGGCTGGGACATCCCGGGGGTCCGCGCACACACCGTGTGTGTCTTCCCTTTGGACTGAGCGCAGACCGTTTAGAAAGCGCTTTGAGATCCTTAAAACGGGGTGGGGGCGGGAGAGGGGCCGCTCTCCCCTGGGAGCTACCGGGGAGTTGGAGCGCCGCCCCCACCTCGCTCCCTTCCACAGGGTCTGGGAAGTTAAGCC